GAGGAGGAGATTCCACAACCTCCACAAATTTCCCCTGAAGATCAGGCTTGTGAGCATATATATGCAACAACAACGACTCGTGCCCCAAACGGTCGATACATTGTGCGACTTCCATTCAAGGAAGAATTTCCAAAAAAGGTGTCTCTGGGCCACTCTCGGTCTGCTGCACTTCAGCAGTTTTTTAGCATGGAGCGATCGCTTCAGAAAAAAGGAGACTTAGGCACAATGTACAACAATGTGTTGCAAGAATATCTCGACCTCGGTCATATGGAGCACACGAAGCCATGTGAGATAGTAGCTAATGGCAAATACTTCTCATTCTACTTGCCACACCATGCGGTCGTCAAACCAGATAAGGTAACCAAAAGTTCGCGTGGTATTCAACGCCTCAAAAACATCTGGTTCAGGAAAATCCCTGAATGGCGTGTTGCACACTGGTCCCACACTCCAGCCAGATCTCATGCTGCTCATTCTGCAGTGGCGAATGCACAGATTCGTGTTCAATGGCGACATTGAAAAAATGTATCGTCAAATACTCATCCATGAGGACGATAAAGATTTTCAGCGAATCTTATTTCGCACGTCGGCTGACTCCCCTGTCACCGATTATAATCTTAAAACCGTAACTGCTGAAGTCTAGAAAAAGAAGTCTGATGAGGAGATGTGGTGATCTCCGAAATAGTGCTATAACTTCTACCGTTTAGACTTTGTTGCTTTTTCAATTTTTCCTAATAAACAATCGTGGTACAAAGCTCAATAAAAATATTAAAACCGTAACGTTCTTGGTTAATTGTGCACCATACCTCGCTATCCGTACCCTGCATCAATTAGCAGATGATACCTTAGCGAAATTTCCCTTGGCTACCACAATACTTAAAACCGAAACGTATGTGGATGACATTCTGTCCGGAAGTCATGATATTGACAACGCCACTGAATCACTTTTTCAAGTGATCAAAGCGCTTAAGTCAGCTGGTTTCATACTCAAGAAACTAACGGCCAATCATCCGGCCATTTTAGAAAAATTTCCAAAGGAGGATCTTTTCGACTCCAACTTTTTGAAATTTGAGAGCGCTTCCACAACCAAAACTCTTGGTATACAATGGAACGCACTCACAGATAAATTTTCATACACCATTCTGACTGCATCGACATCGAATGCCGTCACAAAGCGACAAATTTTATCTTCTGTCGCAAAACTTTTTGACCCGGCAGGATGGCTATCGCCAGTGATGATTCAAGCTAAGATTCTTCTTCAAGAACTTTGGCTAGATGGCGTTGATTGGGACGAATGTGCCAAACCTATATCCTTGGCAAAATGGCAACAGTTCGCAGAAAATCTGCCAGCCATCTGCCACATCGAAATCCCTCGATGGGTTAATTTCACTCCGGGGCAAGATACCCAAATCCACGGGTTTTGTGATGCCTCGGAAAAAGCATATTGCGCTGCGATTTACATCGGGCAGATGCTAGCAACCAAAGATATTCCACTCTCTTGGTTGCAAAAAGCAAAGTCGCACCATTGAAGACGGTAAGCTTGCCACGCCTGGAGCTGTGTGGTGCAGTCTTACTCGCAAAACTGGTCGCAACTGTTCGAAAACAGCTCAAATTGGAATCGTGCAACATATTCTTATGGTCAGATTCAGAGATTGTGCTAGCTTGGCTTGAAAAGCCACCATGTACATGGAAGACGTATGTATCCAATCGTACCTCTCAAATCCGGGAATATCTTCCAACCGGTGCATGGCGCCATGTTTCCAGCCAAGATAATCCAGCCGACCTCGGCACCCGTGGGTGCAAACCCCAGGATTTGGCGAATTCCCCACTCTGGTGGCACGGACCAACATGGCTCTCTTGCCACATGGATGCATGGCCAAGGTCAAAGGCATGCAGTGCATCTCCACCAGAAAAGCGCAAGGTGGAGGCATATCACGCGCTCGAAGAAGAGGTCGATTTTCTTGATCGCTTTTCTTCTTTCTCTCGAGCACTCCGCGTGACTGCGTACATGTTCCGCTTCGTGAGCAATGCCCGCAACAAATCAAAGGGGGTAGCCACAATCACCTATCCACATCTGACATATAACGAATTTCAATATGCAAAAATTCATCTTATCAACGCAGCGCAATCACGCCATTTTCCGAGCGAAAAAAGTGCTTTGCAAGATAAAAAGCCACTTAACAAAAAAAGTCCTCTTATTGTTCTCAATCCTTCGTTGGACAAAGACGGACTTTTACGGGTTAATGGCCGATTAGCTCATTCCACATTAAGCTATAATGAAAGGCACCCAATAATTCTCCCTACCGAATCGAGGTTCTGCCAGCTATATTTGGAGTTTTTACACTCGCTGCTTCTTCACGCAGAAACACGATTAATGCTCCAAATGGTAAGGCAAGAGTACTACGTACCAAAGCTGAAACCTCTAATTAAAAAATGCATCTTTCAATGCAAAGTGTGCACGCTTTACAAGCAACAAACACGCACCCAAATAATGGCCGCTCTACCCACTGAGCGCTGCAGTTTCTCACTCCCATTTTCCACAACGGGAGTAGATTTTGCTGGGCCATTCCAAATTAAAGCATCGGTGCTAAGATCTACAACCCTTATCAAGGGATACGTTGCAGTTTTTGTCTGTTTTTCCACAAAGGCAGTGCATCTCGAGCTATGCTCGGATCTTACAACCGAAGCTTTTCGAGCAGCATTCGCCCGCTTCGTTGGCAGACGAGGTTTTCCCTCAAAAATGATGAGCGACAATGGAAAAACGTTCATTGGCGCCCAGCGCGCAACAGAACGCGACTTCGTTAAATTCCTTAACGAAGATTCCGCAGACATTGTCAAAAAATATGCCCCTCAAGGCATCAACTGGCAATATATACCACCCAGCGCCCCCCACATGGGCGGCTTGTGGGAATCTGCAGGGAAAAGCTTTAAAATCCATTTAAAGAAAACCGCTGCAACCCACAAGTTCACTTTCGAAGAATTCACGACGCTTCTGGTGCGAATTGAAGCAGTCCTCAACTCGAGGCCTCTATCCGCACTTTCTCAAGACCCAGCTGATATGACAGCACTTTCTCCGGGTCACTTCCTTCGAGGTGCACCGCTGTTGGCCATTCCCGAGTCGAATGCGGAAAACCTCTCTCTACTAAACCGGTGGGAGAAAGTCAAAGCACTTCACCACCAATTTAGTCGCCGCTGGAAAGAAGATTACCTCAAAGATCTTCAGAAGAGATACAAGTGGAAAACCCCACAAAGCGATCCTCAGCCAGGCGACATCGTCGTGATCAAAGAAGATTCACTCCCCCCCACCGAGTGGCGATTGGGACGAATCGAAAACGTTCGCCATGGCCCTGATAACCACATACGTGTCGTGGAAGTCCGTACACAAAATGGAGTTATCACGCGGCCACTTGTCAAACTGTGCTTCCTTCCAAAAGCACAATAGATAATTCTATACATATTTTCCTTCTGTATATTAAGGGTCTTAACTTCCCGTTTAAACATTGTACACAAATACTTCTCGTTTCTCTGCCTTTGCTTCTTCTTCCAGATCGAAGACATCATGGCAGCACGGAAGGCGTGCCCCCTGGCTCCAACGGCAGAGACAGACAACTGCCTACAATGCCGGCTCTGCCACCGTTACCACGCATTGCGGACGTGCCCGGCCTTCAAGGCGATGAAGCCGCCGCAACGGTTGGGAGTAGCCCGCGCGCCAGGCTACTGCGTCAACTGCCTTGCGCTCACCCACACTACCGAGGAATGCGACTCGCCAGGTAGTTGCAAGACCTGTGGCTTAGCGCACCATACGCTGCTGCATGTGGCAGTTAACAGGCCCGCGCGCACAGGCCAATGAAACCAGCAGCCCAACCGGGCCAAATCGACATCATGCAAGCCCATCAAGCGGAGGGCACCGCCGAAGAAAGGTGGGCAGAAGAAGGCGCAGAAGAACCCGCGCAACCAGGCGCCGCAACCGCCGCGCAAGAAGACCGCCCCCGGACGATCGCGCGCACTCCCCAAGGCCTACAAACGGCCAATTTCCAGGGCCGCACCACCAACCGCGTCATTGGCAACACGATCCGCGCCCTGAAAGAGCTGCAGGAGACGCTCAGCAACGCATTCCTGCAGGGCGGGGACGATGTTTAAGCCGCCGCTTAAACTAAATTCAGCGGCCGTGCGTGCATCCTGTGGCCGCAGCGGCGTGAAGTTCGAAAAATGATTAACGAGCGCGCACGGCCGCCTACCATCATCGTGCCAAATGATGCCAAAGTTAGTTCAGCTATTAACGTCGGACATCGCGCACGCGCGCCTTCTAAAGGATTGTGCAAATAACTTCAAATCAGCCAACGCTAGGTTTATATATGTGTTCAATCAAAATAAAAAGAAATTTGCGCTAAGCTTTATAACTTTTGAAATGCTTGTAAATAAAGCTGAATATTGTAAACCTTTTAAAATTCAAACCCAAGTGTTTCCTTTAAACGGAAATCAGTGCGTGTGTACCAAGTGAGTGCGAAGGGACCAAGCGACCAAAATATTCACCTACATTCCTCCCAATAGTCACGAATCGTTAAACAATTTACATGTTGACAACGTCGCAGCGTTACATTGAGTGATCGCGGATAAGCAGTTATGCGTGCTGGGTGATTTTAATTTTAGCGGTATTTCTTTGTCATATTTAGAGGATTCAGGCTTTTTAACTCCGTCTAGTGCTAAGTATTAGATTTAGAGTTCTATGAATTTTTAAATGCCGGAAGTGATAATGTAAAATTTAATTTTAATCTTTGTAACTTTGAGATCCTTAACAACCAGCTGCTTGAGCTTGATTGGGACTATCTTTTTGCTAACGTTGATGTAGTCAATAGTTTCGAACTTTTTAAAACTAAGGTCCATGATTATTGTGTGAATCATGTTCCAATTTTTTCTGAAAGGAGATATAAGTTGCCTTGGTACACCAAACAACTGAAGCATTTAAAATCTTTGTAACGGGCTTTACAAAAAATTCAAAGTGTCTGAGTTTAAAAATCTTGATAAGTCGCTTCGTAAGAAATATATCAGGAACTTCGAAAGCAATATAAAGACCAACCCTAATACCATGTCCCCACCAAAAAAATAACCATCTCGAATCGAACTTAACCACATCACTAACTATTGGTGTCCACACTGCGGTTTGAGGTTTATAAAACAGTACAAATGTAAAGAACAGTGTTCGGACCTCCAAACTTCGATTCAGGACTAAATCGCTGCAAAAATCGGACCAAAAACAAATTTTCCGTACTAGATTGAATTTTTTATTTTTGTTTCTGACATTAATTGTTTGACTAAAATATTTTCTATTCATGCAAAATAAGAACGGGAAGCAATGCAAGGATAATATGTTACATATTTAGGTAATTTTTAGCATTTTCTATGAAGCAGAACGCATCTAACACTTAATTTTTTAAAAAGTAAACCTCTTCTACTTTATATAAATTTCAATCTACATATATTTTTTAACAACTTAAGTAAAGTTCTGCATCCGCCAGTTTGTACAGCCATACGTCAAAAAATAACGAAGTTAATTTATTGACGCATTGCTATGAAAGAGTTACTTTTTAACAGTGAGATTTGGCTACTTTTCAATTTTTTTACTGAAACCGGTGGTGAACACTCAAAAAACGGCCCCAAGAGGGGCATAACATGAATGAAAAAAACGGAATAGATTTGAAGTGCAGCGGGTAGAGGAGTAGATTTCAATTTATTTTAAAAACCGGAGTAAATCTAATCTGATTTTAGTTGAGTCCAAACACTAGGAGGGAACGAATTCTTTACATTTCGACGCTAATGACTCATAGATGGCGGGAAACACAGGGTTGTATCAGACTTTCGACGTGGTTTCGAGTTGGTTAGCTTTTAACCGTCTCAGTGAAATGGTTCAGGGCTGTAATTTGTATATGGCGAAACTACGCTAAATCAAGTGGGTTATCGGGATAACCAACTCAATAGCCATAACTACGTGGTTAGCTCCGGTGGGGACATGGTATAAGGCCTTTTGGTCGTTTATTAAATCAAATAAAAATAAATCCAACATTCCTACCTCGATGTTTTATAAAAATAAACATGCTAATTCGGCCCAAGACTCACCTGAGCTATTTCCGGACTTTTTTAGTGCAAATTTCGTTAGTGATGATGATACGGATCCTATTAATCCTACACTTTCTAACTCACACGTATCTTTTGGCTCACTGTTGCTAACCGACGATGATGTGCTGAAAGGTATTTCGAGTTTAAAACCATCCACTCAGACTGATGTAGATGGCCTATCTCCTATTCTCTTCAAGAACTGCTCTGCTCTATTAAGCCTCTACTTTTGATCTTTAATTTATCGCTCTCTACGGGTACGTTTTTAGCAGATTGGAAAAGTGCTTATATTACACTTATTTTCAAAAATGGAAATAAAAGTGATGTTCGAATTACTGACCGGTTGCTAAATTGTTCGAAAGCATTATCAAGGATAAAATTGCTTTTGCAATTCAAAACGTAATTTGTCCGAATCAGCACGGTTTCGTTAACGGGAGATCCATGATATCTAATCTTGCTATTTTTACGGATGACTACATTACAGGCTTCGAGACTGGGTATCAAATTGATACAGTATATACTGATTTTGCCAAGGCATTCGATAGGGTGTCCTATAAAATCTTAATTAGTAAATTGGCGTACATGGGTTTTCACTCCGTCTTCCTCGAATGGATCAGTTCCTATCTATCCGGGAGGTGCTGTAGGGGACAAATCGAAGGCGCAACATCGCGTTCTTTTCACGCTAGTTCTGGCGTCCCTCAGGGAAGTTATCTTGGACCTCTTTTATTTATAATCTTTATCAATGACATAAGCTCGTGTTTCTTATTCTCCAAATTTCTTCTATACGCTGACGATCTCAAAGTTTATTCGGTCTAGATAGAGTTAACTCTTGGTGTGAACGACATCAACACTTCTTAAATATTGAAAAATGTTCTCATATGGTTTATTCTAGAAAGTCGAATACAGTAAGCACATCTTACACGATAGCAGGTACTAAACTGAAATTTGTAGATCAAGTCAAAGACCTAGGGGGTTTATTTTGACTCAAAACTCACATATAATACTCATATTAACTTCATTGTTGCAAATTCATATTCCACGTGGGCTTTAGTGCGTCGTAAAAGTTCTGATTTTTCTGACCCGTACACTCTTAAAAAACTTTATATTGCTTTTGTCAGGTCCCGTCTAGAATATGCCGCAAATATTTGGCGACCCTTTCATACGTAGTATATAAACATGATTAAACGTTTACAAAAGATTTTTATCAAGTCTGCGCTAAGGTTTCTCAACTTTGCGCAGCCAATGCCTTCCTATAAGTCACGTTGCTTACTTTTAAATCTTGATTTGCTGAAGATAGGAGAAAGTGCCTATCCTGCTCGTTTATCTTGAATGTTATAACTAATATTGTCGATTGCTCAGAAATCCTGCGAAGAATACCGCTCAATATTCCTGTAAGAAATTTGCGGCGTTCTGACTTATTTTACGTGCAATCCGCATTGTCGAATTATGCTTTGAATGCACCTATTAGGCGAGCCCTCAGGGATATCAATCAAATAAACCAAACGGTGGAAATAGATCTTTCACTTCCTGGAGTCGTTTTAAAAAACATAGTCTCGAATTACTTTAATTCATTAATTAGTTGATCACCAACTTAAATTGAAGTTGTATTTTTAAGCTTAGTCAGTAAGAAACTATGTATTCATTGACTGAAATATAAATAAATAAAAGTAAATAAATAAATATCCACAGAATTTAGCCCACACGAACGCCTGCCCCTACACCAGCAACGACAATGACGACAGCAGCGTCAGCAACACGGCCAATCAACACAAGAGACCGTATTAACCAGTGCTGCCGCAAAGAAATTAACAAATACCTCAAAAACAAATGAAAAATCCTCAAAATCCGAACAAATCACTCAAAACTTTCTTACTACATATATGAGTATTTTGTACTATATACTATTTACAGGTACATAGTATAAAAATTAATTAAATTCTCCAATTCAATTAGTACATTTTTTCTTGCGGTTCAAACAAAGTATCACCGTTATTTTTTATGGCTTGGTTTGTATATAATATTGCTGCAACTATATCAGTGCTCAATCTGGTCCTCAAGTCAGTCCTACACATTTTTAAACTATATTCAGTAGGGTGGGTCAAAAAAAAATAATGTTTTTTTCAAGGAATGAAACCGAAACCCAAACCGAAACCGTAACCGTTTAAAACCGTTTCGTTTTTCAAAACCGAAACCGAAACCGTAACCGTTATCTTGACTTGAAAAGGAACGATACCGAAACCATTTCAATCACAGGTTTCAATCGGTTTCCAGAAATTTACAAAAATAATAAATAAATAAAAATTTCTTTGAAATAAATGATTTATTTAACCAAAATC